TATTGTTGTTGTTGTTGTTGTTATTTGCCTTCAAGTCGACCCCGACTCATAGCGACCCCTCCTTGGGTTTCCAAGGCAGTATCACTATGGAGTAGGATTGCCCAACCTTCCTTCCGAGGAGTGGCTGGTGGGTTTGAACAACCAGCCGTCTGGTTAGCAGTCAAGTGCCTTAGCCGCTATGTAAAATTGTTGAGCTTAAGTATATGAAAATTTTAATAAATTACCAAATTGCTTTTATGAAGTTATACTACTTAACCCTGCCATCATTAATGGTTATGAAGTCCTATTATAGTATTTCCTCACCAGCATTGACTGTATTTGTTTTCTCTTTGCTTATTGTGTAGCTAAATATGACATTTAATCATAGAGCAGTTTTTATTTCTTTAAATTTTATTGTGATTTGGATGAAAGTTTACAGAGCAAATTCATCTTGATCATAGAGCAGTTTTCATTGGTTCTTTTACAAAGTATCACTTACTTTGCCTTTTACCATGTAAGTATTACAGTTTAGTTTTTTGATTCAAGATACATTAACATGGCCTGTATAAATCAGTGAGTAACATATCTTGAAGTACAGGCTATTCAGGGGTTACAAACAAGATGTGTTCCTGCATCTTTAAGATTTGTAAGTCAGTCGGAACAGGTGCGTATGGTTCTTATTTAGCCTTACATTAGTGCAAGAAAAGGCTCAAAGCCTCGTCAGTGATTTAAAAGCTACAGTGCGGCAGGTGAAGGTAATTGTGATGAAGAATTTGTTGTGAGTCGGGGTTGATTCATTCGTTTCACATTGAGGGCAAATTTATGTAAACATAATTAGGATTTTGAGCTGAAACACCCCTACCCCAAAGATGGCAACCCCTGGTCAAAGATGATTGGCTGTGCTGTCTTGAATATGTGTGACTCTCTGTGGTCCTGCCAATAATCCAATTTCACGCATCAGGCACCTGAAAGGGCTCACTGTGCCTTTTCCTGGTTTCCCATTCCAAGGCTTTGACCTATCATTTTTCCATTCTGGTTACTAGAAGGAATCACCTAAATTGTAAAACTTCAGGTCTGTTTCTGTCTTGGCTATAACAGAACTGGCTTGATTGATTGGAAGCCCTGCTTAAAGGGCAAATAAGAGTTGTCCATAAGTTGGATGTTGGTAAGCTGGGAACTGCCTTTAATACTTTTAGGTTGTATTTATGGTGATAAATTACTAGAGAAGAACAAAAAATGTTACCATACGTATTAAAGAGGCACACACAGTAGAACTGAATGCTTGTTTCTCAGATACTCAACTTATTTTTTGTCTTTTAGAGTTTTAAGTCAATCAGGGATTTACTTATTTTAAAGATCATAATAGGGAGCTCTGGTAGCATAGTGGCTAAGACACTTGCCTGCTAACCAGATGGCTGGCGGTTCAAACCCACCAGCCACTCCTCGGAAGGAAGATTGGGCAATCCTACTTCCGTAGTGATACTGCCTTGGAAACCCAAGGAGGGGTCGCTATGAGTCGGGTTTGACTCGACGGCACATAACAACAACAACAACAATAGCACACAGCTAACCTAAGTTTCTTTGCTTTAGGTTGCACTTGTTTTTCCTGGACCGAAGTCTGTCTCAATAAAAGAGATTTCTTCTCATCTGCAAAAAAGGATTCAAAATAATGTTAGAGGCGCAAGTGATGATCTTGACAAGCCATCTATCAAACGCAAGAAAACTGAAGGACAGGATGGCTGTGATTTGAATGACAGCAAGTGGAAAGGCATAGCACTGAAGAAAATTATATTTATAGACAGTACCTGGAACCAGACAAACAAAATTCTTACTGATGAGCGACTTCAAGGTAAGAGAAAAAGTTTTTTGGCTTTCTCTTCCCTGCTCCATCTTTTATTTTTAAAAATTTCAAGCCTACAGATAAGGTGAAAGAGGTATTGTACTGAAGACCCATCTGCCCTCCCCTAGACTCACAAGTTGTTAATGTTTAAGCACATGTTCTTTATTTCTTTTTCTAGTGTGTGTGTGTGCTTATATATATTTTTGGTTGAACTGTTTAATAGTAAGTTGTAGGCTTTACAACACTTTACCCTTAAGTACTTCGGTACACATTTCTTAAGGATAATGACATTCTTTTGCATAATAATGTTGTTGTGTGCCATCAGTCGGCCTGACTCATAGTGACCCCTCCTTGGGTTTCCAAGGCAGTATCACTACGGAAGGGATTGCCCAACCTTCCTTCCGAGGAGTGGCTGGTGGGTTTGAACCGCCAGCCTTCTGGTTAGCAGTCAAGTGCTTTACCCACTATGCTACCAGAGCTCCTATAATACAATACTATTATTACAGTGATAATACTATTATTGCTCCTAAGAAAATTCCATAATGTCATCTAATGCACAATCCATATTCAAATTTCCCTAATTGTCCCAAAAATATCTTTTATGACTTGTCCTCCCCACCCACACGCCCACCTCTTACAGGTCTTAAAGTCCTCACAGTGCTTTTGGTTATTATGAGTCTTTAGTTTCTTTTAGGAGCTCTGGTAGCATAGTGCCTAAGGCACTTGCCTGCTAACCAGAAGGCTGGTGGTTCAAACCCACTGACCACTCCTCTGAAGGAAGTTTGGGAAATCTGCTTCCATAGTGATACCGCCTCGGAAACCCAAGGAGGGGTCACTCTGAGTCGGATTCTACTCGACGGCAGTGTTGTTGTTCTTGTTAGTTTCTTTTAATCTAGATCAGTCTTCCTGTTATTTTTCATGATTTAGACTCTTGGAAGAAAACAGTTATCTGAGTGTTTTGTCATGATTAAGTTTATTTTAAATATTATTGGCAAGGATATTTATATGTAAGGCTAAATCCAAGGTTATTTGTGACACTTCCAGTTTATACCTATTGCTTTTGGTATAATTAATACCATGTTCTTTAACTCTGTGAAATGAACCTGTTTAGATGATAATTTGTATAGTTATTTGATTTATAGATGAAGCTGTTTACTTATTGCATCAAATCAAGAGGCATTTAATACAGGTTGTTCACTTCATTCAAGTGGTGACTGCCAGATCTCTCCATCATAAAAGTTTATTTTTCTCTTTGTAATTAGTAAGTAATCTGTGGGGTGGTGCTTTCAGATTATGTTTCCCAGTAGCCCTTTACCAAGTGGTTTTAGGCCATTGCCTTAATCAGTAGTTACTTGGAGCATTGCAAAATGGTGATTTTCTAAGTTTATGATTTCTCCTACATTTCTTAGCTGGCATTCCTATGTAAAGAAGACCTTTTCCTTTTTACTCTCCTCTTTTTTCCTCTCTCTTACCCTTGCCCCCTACTTTCTTGAGATCGCCGTGGTCTTGATTATATTTTTAATTCAATATGGTATAATTTATCACTGTTGGTATTCTGTTTAATGCTCTAATTGTCTCATATTTTGCTGTGAGTGTGCCTTCAAGTCCTTTTTGGCATGGCCTCAGTAGTCTTTCTGGTATAACCAAACCAAAAAAAAAACAAACCCACTGCCATGGAGTCTGATCTGGCTCATAGCGACCCCTTCCTTGGGTTTCTGAGGCGGTATCGCTACGGAAGTAGATTATCCAACCTTCCTCCTGAAGAGTGGCTGGTGGGTTTGAACTGTCTCCCTTCTGGTTAGCAGTCAAATAGGCACTACGCCACCAGAGCTCCCGGAATATAGATATGCCTTACTTAATGCCCATGATGCATTCTGTGAAATAGTTATATGATTTGGACATTATGTGAACATAGTATTATATATTGTATATATGTTTGTATATATTTGATACACATGTAACAGAGTAACTCTGCCTAAGCTGCTCTTGTTAGCCCTCCCTTAGTGTCTGGACCCTCGTCGTTTACACACTCACATCTACAATTGGCAGTCTCTGGGCGCAGTGCTCTCCAAGCAACTCTGGGTGGTTGGAATTGGAAGCTCTGAGGGATGGGGCAGAGCAGAGCAGCCACAGCCCAGCAACTCTGCAGGGCTGGTCTCTGGGCAGGACATGAGCCAGCTGCAGAAGAAGTAGCTGTAGCCACTGTGGCTCAGGGAGCTGCAGGAACTGACTCAAAGCCGCCCCACATCCTGACGCCTTCCAAGCCAGCCCCTCCTTTCTGCCCCGGACATATATGCAGTAGGATGTTGGTCCAACAGATGTGATGCAACACGTAACTGTATATACTTTTTAAATTCTAAAATTAATATTCACCTTTGTCTGATAGCAAACATCACATTAGAATACGAAGATCTTGACTTTTGCAAAATATTAAGCATTATTGAAATCTGATTTTCTCAATTTATTAGATTATTTTATTTATTTTTAAATAATGTAATAAAGAAATAAGATAGAGTGAGTGGAAAGGGCCAGAGTTAGAAAATCTAGGTTCAGTAATATAGCTGCTGATTACTGTTATACTTGTTATTTATTTATTTAAAATACAGTTTGTTGTTGTTGTTGTTGTTGTTATGTGCCGTCGAGTCGGCCCCGACTCATAGCGACCCCTCCTTGGGTTTCCGAGGCAGTATCACTACGGAAGTAGGATTGCCCAACCTTCCTTCCGAGGAGTGGCTGGTGGGTTTGAACCACCAGCCGTCTGGTTAGCAGGCAAGTGTCTTAACCACTATGCTACCAGAGCTCCCAAAATACAGTTTATTGAAATATAATTTAATAAACTGTATTTTGGGAGCTCTGGTAGCATAGTTTATTGAAATATAATTTATGTACAGTGAAATATTCAAAACTAAAGTGACATGGGTCAATGCATTGTGTTTTTTTTGTTTTTTTTTTTGAAATGTTCCCTCCCCACCCCTGGTAACCAACAAGAAAAGTTTCCTTCCATATGTAAACCTTTCCTTGACTGTTTACAATAATATACTTGTTATTTTTTATTCGTTGTAGTGTTTACAGTTTATGAAGTAATTTTATGTATATTACCCTATTTGATCTTCACAATATTATGGAAGTAGCAGGTATTTTCATCTTCATTTTATAGAAACAGTGGTTTAAAAGATTACTTGCCTAAGAAATACAACCAGTAATAATGAAGAATGGAAGCTCATAATAATGCCTTTCTTATTCCATTTCACCTTATTTAGTTCTTCAGGCTTTTTCTGTAATTTTTCTAAAACTTTAGGTTTATTTCTAGTTCTTCAATGGCTTTGTGTACTATGTATGTTTAGAAAGTAAGAGAGCTACCCATTTGATATTAGGCAGTTGCCAAAGCAGCTTCAACCTGGGAGAGCTTCCCTCCATGCTAGTCTTAAAACTGTGTATCATCTAGAAAAGAAAGCTTTAAATAGCTTTTAGAGTCTGACCTATGTTAATTAGTTCCAGACTAAAATGAATGAATGCTAGATTTACCTAGCTTAATTTACGTAGTTTGTACTTCTGAGATCTCTACACGTTAGTAAAAGTTCTTTAGCTTTCATAATGTCTATGCATGTGTTTTTGTGTGTGTGTGAAAAAGTGATAGAGGCAGGGTAATGGGTAGGGAGGGAGGCTGGATTTGTATAGGTGTGATATACTGCACAGCATAAGACCTGAGAGAGATTTATTGCTGATGTTTAAGACAGAGACAGAGCCCTAAGACCCTGGTCCTTTGAAAGTGATAGAGGGAACATCGCCTAACATGTTGCCTTGGATGATTATAGCAACAAGTTACTCTTCAGTTTGAAAATTTTTCTTAACCATTTTTCTTTATAATCACCTTATATGGTAATTGAAAAGGCCAAATGAAATAACTACACTATAAAAAAGATTTTTGAGGTGTGATTGAAAATGTTTTCAGAGTCTCCACATTTGTGTGCTAGCCTGGCCTAAAATCAAGTCTGTGCAAAAGATTTCTGTTATTCTTTCTAAATGCACATAGAAAGTATCTATTATATATTTTAATTCTGTGCCAGATCAAAATTTTCAAAAGTTTTTTTTGTTGTTGTTTGTTTAAATCCCTTTAAAATAACAAAGTAAACAGTTTCTAGAGGCAAGCTTCTCTGCATGTCCTATTTGAACCCCTGCTCTTTTGACTCCTTATTGCACCATGGGGAATGATTGCAGCTCTGAACATATTTATAGCCTCTGCATGTGTGAAATGCTGAAATGCCAGTTTCTGGATAAGCTAAGGTGCTTTCATAAGAAACAACCCATGTTTGTTACAAATCATTGCCTTTACATGTTAAGACATTTTATCATTTTGTGGGATTAAGCTGAACAAACTAACTCTAAACCTCAGTTTAAACTCTCAAATATAATGTGTTGGAATTTATTACTTTCTGTTATTTTATTACAGATGCTGAGGTTAATCACCCCCTTACCAAAGTAAAACTGTACTGTTTTACCAAACCATACAGAGAAATAGCTCTGGCTGTTTTACCCATCAAAAGACAACACATTATGTTGTTGTTGTTGTTGTTGTTATGTGCCGTCAAGTGGGACCCGACTCATAGCGACCCCTCCTTGGGTTTCCTAGGCAGTATCACTACGGAAGTAGATTGCCCCATCTTCCTTCCGAGGAGTGGCTGGTGGGTTTGAACTGCCAGCCTTCTGGTTAGCAGTCAAGTGCCTTAGGCACTATGCTACCAGAGCTCCCACATTAATTTATATATAAATAAAACCTTTGAAGTAGGGGTACCTAATTTAATCATAAAATGTAAACCTAAACCTGTGAGTGATAGGTAACATAACATTCTTGAAGATTCACCAAAGGAAGCCTTGGGAGGATGTGAAGGGCAGGACGGTTTCTTTTTGTTGGAGAGGGAGTCCAAATGAGTAAAAATAGCATTATACTTTAATTCGTTATACAGATTAGTCATTTCTTTATTTCAACTGCATTGTTACAACTTTTAAAGTGATAGCTTTGTTCACATTTAAGCATCACCTAAACTGCACTCAGTGTGTCAATGAGTGCTTTATTATATACAGTAAAACCTGAGAAAACCAGAGCCCATGTAAGTTAGAAATCTGTCAGAGAAGGAAAGCATAAATAATTCTCACTAAAACGAGTGGTATGAAAGTGGTAAACTGCATCCTGTCGAAGGCAGAAAACTTGTGAGACCCAGAAAAATAAGGAAGTTCATTGAGTTCCTGCTCTCACAAGTTTCACTGTACTACCTCATTCATTCCTCACAAAAACGATGTGAAGGTAGGTCAGAATTTTCATTCCTGTAGTTAAATACTGTATTTCCTCCATGCTCCCTGTTCTTTCCTCCCGAGTCTCCTATTAGACGTTGAATCCTCCGTATCTCTTAACTTAATGTCTTACATGCCTTGATACTCTGCTACATTTCTGAGGTAAACCAAAAGATTTTAGTAACTTTTGGTAAAGTGGAATGTAATAGTAGAAAATCCTTGCACTCAAAATTCCAAATCTGGGCCCATAGGCTGATTTTGATGCTACTTTAAAATAAAATACACTAATAACAAAGTATTGCAATATAAATAATATGATTTTTAGAATTTGTCTAAGAGACTAAAATCATTCTGGATTTATAGGCTGACATTTGAGTTACAAGGGATGACAGCACAGTTCTGTGATTTCATGAACGATTTCCTCTTTAAATGTACAAAAACAAGGCATTCTTGCTAACTGGCATGAGGCTATGGAGCATAGAGGTGACAGAAGCTAAAGAAACATCTAGTACTCTGTTCGTGAAGACATAACCTAAAACTGGTCATCTAGAAGGAAACTTTTACTAGTATTAAAGACCATTAGGCTGCCTATCTCTGAGTTTCAAAGTAAGTTAAATATAATTTTATCAAATAAAGGAGTTTTTACCCTTCTGAAAATTGGTTTATTTCATCCTGTCACAGGTTAAAATTTAAAAGACATTAGTAAATAGAAGAAAAAGAGATGAGTACCTTAAATATTAGCTACTTTAGAGTTAATTGTCATCTATTAAGATTTCCTTCTATGTTTTATATTGCTTCTCTATATACTTGAATGCATCTAAGAAAACATCCTCTATGGAATTGGGATGCAAGTAATTTTTATGTGCTCTTAAAAAAAATAAGATAATTGACAGAAATTATTATTATTATACCATGCCCTGTGGTTAAGAAGAAATATTCATACCTTTCTTATTTTTTTGGCAGGGTTGTTACAAGTTGAGTTGAAATCAAGAAAAACTTGCTTTTGGCGCCATCAAAAAGGAAAGCCAGATACCTTCCTTTCCACAATTGAAGCCATTTACTGTTTTCTAGTAGATTACCACACTGAAATATTAAAAGAGAAATACACAGGTCAATATGACAATCTTTTATTTTTCTATTCTTTTATGTACCAGTTGATAAAGAATGCCAAATGCTCTGGAGAAAAGGAAACAAGAAAACTTATCCATTAACTTTTGTCATTTTATTTTGCTAAAATTAATAAACTTAGCATTGTGCTTTGCTTATCCTTTGAAATAATCAAGTATAATATCTGCAAGACTCCTTGAAAAAAATCTGGTTTCATTCCTTTTACCTTGTATTTTTTAGAAGGAAGTTCTATCTAAGGAAATTTTTCAGAGACAGCCTTGACTGAAAAACTCATTTCAGAATTTATATGTCCAGGTTTGGCATATCTTATGTTCATTATTACATTTTAATATGATACCTATCTATGTAATTATTTTCATTTATTTAGAGATATCCAAACTTTAACCTATACTCACACCAGTTTTGGAAGTAGATGGGATCAGAATTTCCTTGCTGAAAATATAAGTGATTTTTTTTTTTTGAGTTATTGGCAAATACAGGCACAACTACAATTTTAGCTCTAGCCTCTAGGACTATTTCTGTAGGTCCACACTGCCTGTGATAGATACATGCTGCTTTTTTTAGACGTATCTGACATCTTTTCTGGGGGGGAAGAGGGTGAATTTCTAGCAATAACATGGTCCTGCCAGAGGGTTGGGCATATGATCCAGTTTAACAAGCTAAATGTATCTGCCCCTGAGCACAGTGATTGACCCAGGGGTGAGTACCTACCTGACCCAATAGCACTGGGGTTCTTTTTCATAGTTGACAGGGATGCTGTAGGAGATAGGGTTCTTTTTTCAAAAGGCAGGAGGGTATGGTGCTTATAAGCATAGGCTCTGGAGCTAGATTACCTGGATCCAGATTACCTGGATCTGAATTCCAGCTTTTCCTTTCCCACTTTATCAGTGAAATGACAGTTATTCATATATAAAGAATAGGATTATTATTAGGATTAACTACAAAAGGCTTCAACAATGCCTGGCATATTGTTATTATGTGCCGTGGAGTTGGACCCAATTCATAGTGACCCTTCCTAGGGTTTCTGAGGCAGTATCACTACGGAAGTAGATTGCCCAACCTTCCTTCCGAAGAGTGGCTGGTGGGTTTGAACCGCCAGCCTTCTGGATAGCAGTCAAGTGCCTTAGGCACTACGGTACCGGAGCTCCTTGGCATATAGTAAGTGTGTTTGATGGGTTTTTTTTTTTGAATTGTGAACTAAGAATGATAAAAGCCTGGAGCTGCTGGTAGCCATCTATGTTGCTAGGTGGCAACTGCCTGCCTTCAAATGAAGCCAACAAAAGACAGCAAAGTGGAGTGATAAAAAGAGGACAGACCCAACAACATAATTTTATCACCTAGATCTAGCTGCACATGAGTGGAGCCCTACCACACTGTGAATAGCTTTTGTTATATAGTCCTCTAACTATACAAATGTGGCAACTGAGGCCTAAAGAGGCTAAGCAATTTGTCCATAGGTCACACAGTTAATGTGTGAACCTGGTCTAGTGGCAGAACCTGGTCTAGAATCTGGGACTTCTGGTTTGGTTCATTGCAATCACAACTATACTATGCTATTCATAAAAAGAAATGTGGATTATATAAGGTTTGATCATTATTAGCCCTTATGATTTTAGACAAATGAACTGTCTTGCCTGTTTAGCAATTATTTTACAAGAATGGAATTAAAATGGATTTCTTCATGTTTAGAACTTGGCTGTAGGAACAGAGGAAGGCCTGGATTGATTTAAACAGAGCCAACACTGGATTTCTCTGGGCTAAATTTGGATTTTCCTGAGCCAAATTCTATTGCCATCTAACTGGCTCTATAAACTAACTAAACATAATAGTTAAAAGAGAAATAATAATAATAGAACAATCTTATCAGTCATTTGTTCCATCTCACAGCTGGCATAAGAAAGATGACCCACAGGATCATAAAAGCCTAATTTACAACTAAGGCAAGATAAAATCTCAAGTTCCTCCCAAAAGAAGATGATAATACCTACAAGAACAATGAAGTGGCTGTACTTGTCTTGTTCTTCTTTGGTATGGTAGACTGTAAAAATGGCCTTGTTTCTCCCCATCCCCCTCCCTGTATTCATGGTCCTTTTTCATGTTTCTTTGAAGTACCCTCTCGGATTCTGGGCCAAATGCATTTCTAAAGATCTAGTGTATTCCCATTTGCTCTTGTGCTTCTACTGTCACCATAGAAACATGCGTACATGGGTTAGCCTGCTGGAGGAAGAGATATGCATGGAGCAGAACCAGGTGGTTCTAGTGACCATCGCCAAATCCAGTCTATATTGGCTGATATTAGTCTCCATGTGCATAAATGATCCTAACCAAGATCAACAGAGCTATCGAACTGGAACCTACCTAACTCCAGATTTATAAGTAATAAATGTTTACTGTTATGCCACTGAAGGTTTATAGCTGTTTGTTACACAGCATTATTGTGACAACAAATGTTTCAACTTTGGATATAGTATCAGACACAACTTCCTTAAGCACCTTCTTAGATTCTCAGCTTCATTGTTTTCCTGGATCTTTGGCTACTTGGTTTGTTTAACTGTTACCCTACATAGTTACAGCTGATGACAGGCTTACATGATTCCCTTGCTTGAGTCCAATCAGCATATGCTCAGAATCTCTGGCCCATCCCGATACATCTGGACTCTAGCAAGCACTGTGCCACAGGCTTTCCAGAGTGACTGCCAAAAGGGCTAGGTGGTGCAGTCTGGAAGAGCAGTAACGTTAACTACCTGTCTGGCAAACTTGGATCAGTGGACTAGAAGAAGCTGTCAGATGAATCCCTCCCACTCTTTCTAATAGATTGTTTAGAGGTAGTTTTTCATCCAGCCTGTCTGGAGATATACCATGTTGCTAAGCAAGTGCCAAGTGATTGCCAAGTGATTAGCAGTATCTCTTCATGACTTTTTATGAAATAGCATCAGGCTCTGTGTAGTAATTTATCAATTTGCATTTTCTTCTATCCTTGCTAGCCTCACCTCCCTTTTACCTCACTCTTACTGACCTGAATTACACTTTCTAATAAATAGGAAGATTTAATCTTTGCCTCAGACTCTTTTCTAGGAAAGTTGGGTGTTTTAGTCTGGGTCTGGTCAGGAAAGCAGACTCACTACAAGTATTACACAAATAAGGAGGTTTAATAAAGGAAGTAGAGTGCACACAAACATGGCAGTTCCTGGAGGAGTAAATATCTGGAAGCCTGTAGCAGAGGATGATTGGAGGAACAGTCATTAGTTCACCTTGAGATGCTCAAAGTACCCATGACTTAGTTGAGACATGTATGTCTTGAGCATATCATGCTTCTCATTCTCTTACAGTTTCTAGGAGCCCTTTGGCTCAACTGAACAGAATCTGTACAGAGTTCTTAAAAGAAGAGTTACACCTCGAGAGGTGGAGCAAGAGAGTGACACAAGCCACTGCACGCTCCTGTCGACAAAATGGGAAAAAACAAACAAGTGGATATTGGTGCAATCAATGGTCCCAGAACTCTGGGAACTCGTCAAAGGGTTACAGCATCTAAATGAATACTGAATCAGTAAAAAGACATCTAAATGGCAGGAAAGTGTGAGTTCTCCATCTGAGCTGCATTGTCTCCCTGGCTTAGCATTGATATCTTGGGATGGCTTCAGTGCCCAGTGTTCCTAGGCAGGGAGTCTGGAGTTGGAGTGGTGACACCTAGCACTCCCAGGTGGGCCTCTGGTTTTGAAGCGGCCACAGATGAAACTTCCAGACAGGAACCTGGTGTTGGAGCAGTGACAGCCCTTCCAGATAGTGGATGACTATAGATTTCATCAATTAAAAAAAAAAAAAAAAGACAAATCTTGGGGAAGTAGGAGAATCAGATTTCTAGAGAAATCAAATATCCTCATTTCAACAACAATAAAAACAAATCACAAGGCATACCAAGAAACATAAAAGGATGATTCATGCGAAATAACTCATGTCCCAAAAATAAAGGGACAAAAACCATTTCAGAGGAAGGACAGATAACAGACTTAGTAGACAAAGACTTTAAAATGACAGTATTAAATATGCTTAAAAAGCTATAGGAAAACATGGACAGAGAATTAGATAGAATTGGGAGAATTAAACAGGAATAAAATAGGAATTTCAATAAAGTGATAGAAATGTTTAAATAGAACCAACCAATACTGGAGCTGAAAAGTGCAATAGTAGAAATCAAGAATTCCTGAAGGAGTTCAGTAGCACACTTTAGCTGGCAGAAGAATCAGTGTGTTCGAAGATAGGGCAATTGAGAGTATCAAGTCTGAAGAACAAAAAAAAGAATGAAGACAAATGAACAGAGCCTAAGAGATTGTGAAATACCATCAATTGGACCAATATTATTATTATGGGAGTCACAGATGGAGAAGAGAAGAAGAATGGGTCAGGAAAAAAATATTTGAAGAAATAATAGCAGAAAACTTTCAAATTTGAGGAAAGTTATTAATCTTTATATCCAAGAAGTTCAATAAACTCCAAGTAGGTTGAACCCAAAGAGGCTCATACCACAAGACACAATTATAATCAAACCAAAAATGCAGACAATTTTGAGAGCAGCAAGAGATAAACAAATCTCTTTTTTAAAAGAGATTTAATTAAGCACTGATTTTTCCTCAGAAACCAGAGACTAGAAAGCAGTGGGATGACATAGTTAAAGTGCTGAAAGAAAATACCATCAACCAAGAATTCTGTATCTGGCAAAATTGTCCTTCAAACATCAGGACAAAATTAAGACATTCCCAAATAAACAAAAGCTAAGAGAGTTTGTTAAGCTAAGAGCAGTAACAAGACCTGCTCTTCAAGAAATTCTACATGAGGTTCTTTGGGTTGAAAAGAAAGGACACTAGACTCAAAGTCCCATGAAGGAAAAAAAAAAAAAAAAAGAGAGAGAGAGAGATCTCCAGTAAAGGTAATGTAATGGATAAATATAAAGTTCTGCTTTATAATATTTTAGTGTTGTAACTCCACTTGTTATGTCCTACATGATTTAAAAGACAAAAGCATAAAATATAAATATGTTGTTGAACACACAATGTATAAAAACGTAATTGGAAATGAATGATGAACAGTTTTTTATGTGGTTGAAGTTGATATCAATTTAAACTAGCTTGTTATAAATTTAGGATGCAGATATAATC